TAGACTAGACTAGACTAGACTAGACTAGACTAGACTAGACTAGACTGCACTGCACTACACTATACTTTGCTATGCTACATTACGCTTGTGCGGCGTTGTGCAAGTTAATGTTAACCAAAATCCCGTTCTTTATCTCCAAGCATTTCATCCGTTAAGCAAGGTTGTTTGTTTGTGTTCCAGGTGGAAATAATAGCGACACTCTTACAACGATCGCTAACTCTTACTTTGAGTCGTTCTGGACTACTTTCCCGGCACATCGCAGCTTTAAGACCTAGGTTCAGACTGTTACAACTTGGTCTATCAATCCTACAAGGGGAATTCTTGACGAACTCTGTTGCTAAAAATGTGTTGAGGGAAAGAATCTACACTAACGCATTGGACTATTTCAGGTACGAATACAATTAATAGAATTCATTTGTTATGAGGGGAACTGGTAACTACCCCGTGGTGCACAGGATTAGGGGCAAATGAATATGAATGCTAGATGACGAAGCTTTTTAATGTCGTCACTGAACTCAGGCCCATAATCCTTTGTGCCACGAGGTACTGAGTTAAAAGTATTCTTTTGAAGTTCAGAAAGGCGAATTTAATTTGTTATTTCAAACAAAAATATTTCAATGGAAAGATCTTAAGAAATTTCTTTTTTCTTTCTTTCTATTTTTGTTTTTAAAATTATTTAACTTTTAAAGACAGTGCAGCTGGAAAATAGTGTTTCTTGCCCAGCTGTTTGTAACACTTAAACGATTTCGTAATTTCATTGCCGTTAATTGGTAAACACTGTTTCATTTTTTCTCTCTTACATGACTGTGCTAACAGATGCCGATTTGTGCAACCTTTTCCCTTCATCGTTAGTCTCATAAAAACATTCTTTTCTCATATCAAAATGATTACCCAATTGCCGCTCAGGTATCTCTTGACTGATCTTGACTATTGTTCTCAAGAACTATAAGTATTATGACTTATAATGAAACGATTAAGCAGGTTCGGTCTTCGTTTTTTAATTACCGCTGTAATTGATGCCATCTTGGTTTTTTTTAAACAAACATGGTCTTGACAGCTATGTATATCACTGTTTCAAAGATTCAATTTGAAAAGCTAGGTGGATATTGCTTTGCTTGGTCTTGACTTCAAAATCTTGAAATCGTGAAAATCTCATGGCACTTATTAACGAAAGCAGAATCAGTTGTCTAAGAGACTTTGAAGGTATGCTTGCTCGAACTGAGATTGGAAATCCAGGTTACAAAGGATTGTTTATCACTGTTGCTGTCTTCAACTCTGTACTGACGCTTCCTACTATCCTCGGTAATGGTATCGTTATCCTAGCGATCTTTATAACGCCTACTCTTCAAAGCCCTTCTTATATCCTAATCTCAAGTCTGGCTTTAACTGATATGATCGTTGGCTTGATAGTCAATCCCATCCAAGTGGTAATGGCTGTGGCAGATCTTTCAAACTATTCTGAGATGGTCTGTAGTTTGATTTTACCTAGTCGACAGATTGCTGTGACGCTCGGATCGGCTTCCTTCTTGTCTCTTGTCGCCATCAGCATCGATAGATACCTCGCCATTTATCTCAAACTACAATATAAATTCCGTGTAACGATGTTTCGAGTGCGTATGTTGGTGATTGGGTTATGGTTATTTGCTATCGCTGTTGGTTTTCTTTCCACCAGAAAAGAAATTTCCATTCTCGTTTTCCCAGCTGTTGCGCTTTTTGCAGTTTGTTTGGTTGTCTTGATTGTTTGCTACGTCAAGTCCTTCCACGCCTTGAAAGAACACTGCGCACAGATAAACCCACAAGAGTACTGTGATACTGCAAAAAGGCATTGCGTTAACGTAACAAAGTACCGTAAAGTTCTTATGACTATGGCTTGGTTATTTGCATTCATCATTGGTTGTTACCTGCCATTGTCGTGCATGTTTATTGCTGTCGCATTTGCTGAAGTTAATGCAGACGTTGCGGCGATCTTTTGTCTCGTTGTTACTGCGGTATATGTCAATTCCTGTATCAATCCTATAATTTACATCGTAAGGATGAGTGAGATTCGACAAGCATGTCTTCAGGTGCTGAGAAAGATGAGACAAATGTGTGATAGCAAGCACACTGTAGTTGAACCTTTCTCATCGCCAACCGCCTCTGGTATGCAGTTAGTACCACAGTAGAACTTCTGGTACCCAACTGCCTTAGTCGACCGTCTATCGGTCGTTACAGTTGGGGGACACTAACCGAAAGACAGCTTGAATATAATCTAAAATAAATAACCTTAACAAATTAGGAGGAAGAATCAGTATTATATTTTCCTCCGACAATCATCATCTATCATTTCCATGATTGCTGATAGAATCAAAGGTTTTCTAAGATATCTAGGCTGCGTTGCTTTCTCCCGATTAGTTCAAGTTTTCACTCATGATTGGTTAACTTTCTTTAAGTGTTGCTGGTGTGTCGCATATTCAAGTAATCGGTAAACACTTGCGTCCGGTTACGTGCTACTATCCTTTATTGCTCCAGTTTCAAGTTGTCTGTTGTTCAGGGTTATTATCAGTTTTGTGTAGAATATTTATTTCAGTGTTCTCGCGAAGGTCCGTGGAATTGTCAAGTGTTTGTATTGTTGAAGTTGTGCATTCATATTTTAACGCTGAAGCGAAGCTAACCCTGAGTAAACGAGTCTGTAATCAAGGGATACAGCGCTATTCAACGAATTGGAAAAAAGATCAGATAAAAAGAGAGTTAATTACTTATTCCAAGATGACTAAGTGATTTGAATGCCCAAGGGCGTAGCAGTGTGAACCAATAATCGGAGTGGGAATCGGAAGCAGAAGGGCGACAGAATTGCAAGGATCAGAAGTTTTTCTTCCGATTCGAATCATGATGATCAAGTGTGAACAAAGAATCGGAATCGGAAGTTTTGACCAATTTTGGCCATTGACACTGAGCAGAAAACTTTGCAAGCCTTATAACTATGGGAACAACTAAGACGCGAGCGTCGAATCGAGGCTTACGATTCTGCTTGCGTTGTTTTAGATCACACTGACCACCATATCGTAAGCTTCTTGCGCTTCCGTTTCCGACTCTGGAGCTTACAACGCTAGTGTGAACCAGCCTTAAGAGAACACATGCTGATTATAAATGCAATAAATTTCTTCTTGCTTCACGTTTATGATGTACTACCACTTTTGGCATGTATACCGCATTTGGTTTAACAAGTGTGTTGCCATCAAATACATAAAGGAAATCCTTGACTGACTGAACCGATCTTATAAATGAAAGACAAACCAGAACAGATGTTTCTTCCCCTCCTATACCCCATTCACACCTAAACGTGTTTAGTTAAACTATGTTTTCATTAGGAAAAAAATTGAGAAACTAGAAACCTACAATATAATGAAACTTTCTAATTAATATTGTCACAGCAAGACAAAGGATAGTTTACATGCATTATTTCTCCAAATATTGTGCAGTGTTCGTAGATAGTTTTCCAAACCTGTTTAGTTAAACCACTTTAAAACATGTTTAAGCCTTGGTGTGAATGGGGTACTAGTCTCCTCCATACACCAAAATCTAGAACAACTACTTTTGTTGATAGAACTTGTGCAATAGCTGCGCCTGTGCTCTAGAACAATCTCCCCGATGACATAAAACATGACGACTTTATTGCTGTAATAATAATAACTTTCCTGTTTAACAGGAATAATCGACTACTGTCCTGCTGTCGTAATGAGGCATCGATTACTGTTTTACACACTGTAACATTAGTTTCTTCGTGATGTGTTTTAGCGTCCACGAGATTGGAACAATCAATATTGTGTAAAACATTTTTTATTACTTTCGTTGTGTAAAGGCAGGTGTATATCTCGATCCGATTCGACTCGTATTATACATCAGAATTCAAGGTCTTTTTTAGTATGTTATATTTTGTTCTTTGTTGTCATGATCATACCATTTGTTTATATATTTTAAAAAAATAGCCATCGATGAAATATCTATTTTTCTCTATTATTTATCTTCACATGTGAAAATAATCAAGAATGAAAAAATTGTAAAAGTTGTATTTCATCGATAATTATAGAATGAACAGAATATTACATGGCCGCTTGGAGATACGAATTTTACCTTCTCGAGTTGAAAATGTCTTTCTCGTTCAATATACTCACTTATTACCTCAACACAACTCGAAGATAAAATCCATATCCAGTCCGTATCCGGCCATGTAATATCTTCTGCATACGTTATAAGAAAGACGCGTATTAAGAAATTAAAATTACAATACAACATTTTTGACTGTCTAAAGAGCCAAGTCTTTTGAACCACATAGTTCAGTCCCCTTGAACATTGCATTGACAATACTACGCAGGTGCATGTGAAAATGTTAACGAGCTTTCTAAGATTAAAAAGGCCACCTGAAATCGAAATGATTTGAAAAGAAATAATCATTGAAACAAGCCTTCGGGAACTTTAAAAGGATGTTCTAGGACGATCACAAGACTTCATTATGAACAACACTACGTGTTTAAAGGAGTTACTTAGTTACAACGTTCGTACAGAAATAGGAATTCCATCCACAAGTGAACATTTGATTGCATTTTTTATCATGAACATCTTGCTGGCTGTCCCTACGGTGATGTTGAACGGTATTGTGATAATAGCCTGCTTCACAACCTCAACCTTACGAGGGCCGTCTTACATATTGTTGACAAGTTTTGCGTTTACTGATTTTTTGCTTGGTTTGTTGGCGGAACCTTTGCTGGTGGCGCTTACCATGTCTGATGTTATGCATAACGAACAACTGTTTTGTCGCCTGGCTTTACCCGCAAGACAAGTAACCATTTCACTAGCTACGGCTTCCTATTCCTCTCTTGTTGCCATCAGCATTGACCGATACCTTGCAATAAGACTAAAAATGCGCTATAAATCTGCGGTAACCTTGACGCGTGTACGGATCATTGTCATTGGACTTTGGGTTTTTTCTGTATGTGTAGGATTTCTCTCGATGTTTCAAGTGGTTAAAGCGCTCATTCCCGCAGCAGCCGTCATTCTAGTCGCCTCTCTTGTTCTTCTTATAGTTCTCTATGTCAAGTCATTCAGTGCACTGCGAAAATACTGCGCACAGATCAAACCAGAAGAAGTTTCGGACGCTGATTCGTATGCCGATGGCACCTCCAGAACTCATGTTAAACGGCCTTGCTTCGATGTTAGTCAGTACGAAAGAGCTTTAATTACCATGGTACTTGTCTTCATTATGATAATATTGTGCTACATACCGACTGTTTGTGTTTTTGGATATATTAGTGTTGTTGGTGTACATCGAATAGCAACAGTAGCAATCAATTATGCTACATTGGCAGTGAACATGAAGTCGTTAGTGAACCCCATCATGTATGTGGTACGAATGAGAGAGGTCAGAGATGCATGTCTGGTTATACTAAGGAAAGTGAAACATATTGGTTAATGCGGGTATTCTTCTCTCTCTCTCTCTCTCTCTCTCTCTCTCTCTCTCTCTGTCACCTTTTTTTGTTTGTTTGTTGGCCAACAAAATGTCAATTAAATTTAATCAGTTTCTAGTTGAGCTGGCTCATTTTTTACGCGACTTGAAGTTGTGAAAGGCTTGTATGGCACTCTTCTTCAGTCGTTTCATCTAAGGCTCGTAATTTACTTATTACGCATGTTGGTATTTTTACTATCAAATTTCTGAATATTTCTGAGGTTTTTTATCTGATTTCTGTGTTATGAAGTTCAATAATGTATACCGTAGTTTTTCACACTGCTTTGTAAAGAAGTGTTTTTATTTAACATATGGAACCAGCCTGTTTAAATGAAAACGATTCCATTCTTCCTATTTTCCCTTCCTTTCTTCCTTCCTCTCTTCCTTCCCTCCTTCCTTCTTTCATTCATTCATGTATATGTTTTTCTTTATCGTCGTTATTTTAATGCCCAACTTTTATTCACGATCATATATTTATGAAAGCAATGTATTTACGGTGATAAAGGCCACCCGTCAGTCCACCTAACCTTCCTCTTTTTGTTATTGCTATTCAGAGGCCCAAGGGGGGTCTCGGCACAGTTCACGACGATTTAAAAAGTACGATCGCGGCTCACGGAAATTAATATTAAAGATTTGAGTCTCCTTTGCAGACGTTCTTTGTGTAAGGAGGCTAGATGGAATCACCAATCATGAAATCAATCGTTACCTCCCCTGTCTTTTTCTCCTCCTTTTCTTTCTTCTATCTTTCTTTTTCTTTTCTTTTTTTTTTTT